CCACCAACTGTGTCTCCCCGCTGTGCCCACGGACCAGAGGGTGTGGTGAGGGACAGCCGTGAAGCAGAGGGCTGTGTGGGCTCCGCAAAGGAAGAGGGGACATGGGGTGGGGAGAGCCCGAGAGAAGGGTGCAGGAGGCACAGCAGCAGGTGGCCGGGCCAGAAAGGACCAAGTAGGAGCCCCTGAAAGGTTGAACTCAGCCATACCTCCCCTCTCCCCTGGGTAGGAGCAGCAGGGCTGGGTGGGGACGGCAGACAGGATTCGCCTTGGCCACGGTTCCCAGGAGTAAGTGACTGAGGAACATCCTAGAAATGCCTTCCTTCAAATCCTCTCCAAAGAGAAGAGACTCATCATTTGCTTGAAGATAGATTAAGGCCACTTTATTTAATAGCAGGGGCTGAGATTAAACGATAAGAATATAATAGTAATAACAGTAGCCAAACATGCATTGACGACTCGCTGTTCTAAGCGCGTGGAGTACATGAACTCATGGAAACCGATTTGAAAGGATGGAGAGGGGGCACCCGAGTTCCGGGTGGGAGGGCAGGTCGGGGGTCCCCGGGTCCTGCCTCCGCCTGGTCCTTTGTCCTTCCCTCTGGAGCGTGGCCTGGAGGAAGCTGACGCAGGCTAACTGAATGCATAACTTTATTAAATAAATGCTTTGTCATGACAAACGACAAAGATCAAGGAGTAACATAAATTATAAGTTGAATAAATAGCATACAGCAATCTTCGCCTTTTTAATAAAACGTGAGATCCTCTGGTTTTTTTGTTTTGTTTCATCTTTATTTCCTTAGGTACAAAATGCTAAACAGGAGGCGAGCTCTTCCGCATTCAGGTGATTTTTTCCCCCACGTTTTTTTTTTTCACCACAAACTGGGTTTGTTTGCTGGTTTGTTTATCCATCCTTTTCACCAGTAAAGAGTATGAGCATTTGTTTTCTTTTAAAAAACAACAACAAACAAACAGTTGAAAACAAAAAAAAGAGAAGAAAACAGAGCTATGGTACGTATGTATGTAAAACTATCGAGAACTACAGTAATATGTGCTGTGGTTATTGCTGTCTTAAAAAAAAACCAAAAACACAAACCGGTAGGCAACTCGGAATCTGAAGGATCCTGTCTGAAAACTGTCTATCCGTGTGGGCTACTGTGTGACGGCGTGGTGGACGGTGGGACTCAGGCTGGTGTCCAGGGCCGGGGAGGTGGGGTGACCGGCGGGCGGCTGGTCCTCCCCCCTCCCTTCCCCACCCAGAAGGGGTTAGAGAGGAGGCCAGAGTCTGTGGAGATGGCTAAACTATATCCTCCATTAGAAAACCAAGAAAGTATGTTTCAAAAAACACAAAAAAACCTAAGCAGAATAAAAAAAAAAGTGGAGAAAAGTGCAAAACATGTCTTGCACTTTAGTGGTTTCAAAAATAAAGACAGTACAGCGCCCAGGTTGCTGGCAGGTGAAACCTCGTTCCTTGTCCCACCACCTCTTCACATGGAGCCTCCGGTTCTCCTGGAGCCAGAACCGTCCTCCTGAGACCAGAGGCCGTGGCTTCCCCTGGGCCACTCCTCTCTGAAGTCCCTTCTGAGCTGGAGCCCTCTGGGGGGACAGGGAGCAGAGGGACAGGGAGAACGCTGCCCCCTCTGGAGAGGGCTTGGCAGTTGCCATGGCAGCCCAGTGGCCGCCAGAGAGTCAGGTGGTGGGAGGAGGGAGGTCGAGGCCCACCCCTCCCAGACCTCAGGGGAGGCTGGCCCTGCAGGGTTACAGTGGAGACCACCAAAGTGGCGATGGGAACTTGGGTGATAGGAGAGGAAGTGGGGCCCCACAGGGCCTCCTGGGCCTCCCTTCCTCCCCCGAGTGAGGGTTGAATGTCTCCAGGCCTGTGCCGGCCTGGCTGTCTGAGAAGCTTTCAAGTCTCTCCCTCCCCAGATGCCCTGCCTTGCTAGGGTGGGTGGGCGGCTCTGGGGGAAGGAGGATCAGTCCTGGCTGGGCCTCCCTCCATCCAGGGGCAGCGGTGGGGACAACGGGCTGTTCTACTGCTGGAATGAGGCATGAGTCAAAGGGAGACGGGAAGAGACCCCCTGTTGGGAAAGGTGAGCACTGAAACTGAGGCCATAGAGGAGCTGGAGACGGAGGCCTCCAGGGGGCAGTCAGTGGCCAGCAGGCTGCCTGGAGTCCAGAGGAAGCCGGCCCAGGGCCTCCCGGCTGGCGGGCCTCCGCACTGCCTCCCTCCCACCCTGCTCAGGGGCTGGGCTCCTTGCCCCAGTGCCTCTCTCCCGTGGGCTCCCACTCAGGTCTTAGGCCAGACCTCCCCTAGGAGAGGTTTAGTTCCCTCTGTCACGAAGCTCCAGTGTTCTCTAGGGACTGACCCGCTGACCAAAATCGCCCCTGCAAGCACTGGGACTCAGGTGTGGGTTAGTCACCATGCACTCGGGAAACACGAAGAGACTGGTGGAGCCGACCAGGCCGTCATCCCCATCTCGTGGCTGACAGCAGAGAGCCGGTGTCAGGAGCGAGGCCCATTCAAAGTCCAGTAAACAGTGGGGGCAGGGAGAGCCCCTTTCAGGAACCAGGTCCGAGCCTGGGGAAGGGTGGGGGTCGGGAATGCAGTTCCTGGCTCAGTCTTGTCTTAGGGGGAATGGCACCCCAGTATCCACGTGGCAGGTCCCAGTTAGATGACTGCTCAAGATGCAAAGGAAGGGTGGCGGGGAGAGGAGGGAAGTGGGGACGTTCGCGATACTGGCCTACAGCGTGGACGTGTGAGTCGGGGTCTTGGGGACAGCTGCACAGAGAGATGGGGTGTTGACACAGCAGGTCAAGCAAGTCCTTGCGGCTGCCGTTCCTGTCAGGCCCTTCGTCCTATGCAGATTGACCACCTCTCCCATCCCCATCCAACTGCCCTGTTTGGGGGAGCAGGAGACACCCCCAAGTTCCACAGCTGCAAGTTTCTGCTGGCTGGAGTAGATTTGCTGCGTTGCTGCCCCTCTTCATTGCCCCAAGTTCAGTGCTAGAGTGTCTCCATGGCACCATGCCAACAGGAAGGGTAGAGAGCTGTGCTCACAGTGAGAAAGGGTCTCCTCGCCAGTGTCCAAGCCCCCTTTTCTGGCGGGCTACCTCCAGCTTCAGAGGTCAGCCCGATCACCCACTTGCTGAGGAAGTCAGTGGAGAAAGGGTTTCCTTGGTTCAGAACGCGGCTGCCCAATGACAGCACCCCCAAGCATCCATTTCCTGGCTGTCCTGGGCCTTTCTCCATCCACCCAGGGAGGAAGCCTGAACCGGCCAGAGGGGACTAAGACCTTAGCAGGCTCTCTGGCCTCAGTCCTCACGGCAGGGTGAGGACAGGCATCTGAGCACAAGCCTTGTCCCTTCAGAACATGGCGAGTCTGCTGCTCGGTGCTCTGGTCTGGCTGCCCAGCCTCGACCTGGCCTTGCTACGCCACCTTCCCTGGCTCTCACTTCTCCTTTCCAGTCTGTTCCCCATTTTCCTCTCTTCTTCCTCTTGAATCCCAGAGGGCTGATCAGGTGGGGAGCCAGGGAAGTGTCTCTGCCTGGGTCCCCCTTCCTGTTGCCTTGCTTCAAAGCTAGAATGGGGCCACCAGCCCCTGTTCCCCCAGCTTCCTGTCCCTCATGCCACCTCTCTGGCCCGAACAGTCATTTTTCCTGCTTCCCTGTGCTGAAGCCGGTTCACCTCCCTGTCCCGTCTGCCGTCTCTCGTTTCTGTCTCTCCTGCTCCGCCAGCGTGAAGAGCGAGGAGGCTTTCAAAACGCAGGCCCTGCCCAGGTGAGCTGGGAAGGCTGGGTGGGCCAGTGGGTCCACCTGGGACCTGCTGGGCTCGCTCAGTGTGGGTCTGGAGATGGTTACTTCTGGAGGGTCTGAAGGGATGTGCCAGGGAGCATGGTGGGTACACACGGGGTGCTCTCGTCCACCTGGCTGGGTGGCACGTGTGAACACGTGTGCATGTGGGAAGTCATGAAAATGTCCAGCACTGTGTCCCACAACGGGCTGGGTTTCCTGCTCACGGAGGCAGGCAGGCCTGGTGCTATGGGTCGGGTTAGAAGCCTGTGAGTTAGTCTTGGTTTTCCCAGAATGAGGAAGCTCCTCAATGCCCCCGTAGGAACTACTTTGAAAAGTTAATGCAAATCTTTGAAAAAAAGGAAGGAGGAAAGAAAAAAAGAAAAGAAAGAAAATAGATGTATATGCCTATATATGACTACAGGGAGCCTTGTAGATAAATACAAGCCCACATTTTTTTCAGCCTGCCCTCCCCCACAGAGGCCGCGCTGCCTGCAAATCGAATGCGTTGAGGGGCTGAAGCCACAGGCCTCAGCGTGGTTCTAGTCACCCCGGAGGAGCAAGTCTCTCCAGTGTTGGGTGCGTATCGATTTCTAATCGTTTGCACAGGGAAATAAGCATACATACTTAATCCTTATGTGTCTGCTTAGGAAAATCTATCTAATACCACTTGGTTATTAATTTGTTTTGAGGGGAATGGAATGCATTTTAGTTTTCCTAAATTTTGGGGGGAGAGAGCACTCTACTGGGGTGAGCAGAGGAAGGAGGGTTCGAGCCGCCCACACTGCTGGCCAGAGGAGACACCCAGGAGAGGCCTGACACCTAGGCTTTTCCTTTCTCCCCCTGACCAATCCGAACGGGGGAAGCTCCGAGTGTGTCACCAAACACCACATGTTGGGCCGAAACCCTCGTGCCCAGTGTCTCCCCAGCTCGGACCAGGGCTGCACATGGGAGGCGGGCCCGCCCTGATGCCTGGGACCTTCCCTTCCGCCCACACTCTCCTTCCTCTTCCTAATTCTGTTCCTCGTTTCCTCTCTGGGACACACACGTCCCCTTCCCTCTCTGCCTCTCTTCTTCCTCTCTTTCCTTCCCTGTTCGTTCAACTTGCCTCAAAAAGAAAACCATTTAAAAGGGGGGTCTCCTTAACTTTTTTCATCTCCGTTGTTGCCGTTTTCGAAGTTGAGACCTTGCTAGAGATTCCGAGGTCCTCAGTTTCCTCAATTAGATAGATATATGTATTTTTTTTCCCTTAAATGAGATGAAATGAGTGGCGTCCTGGGGTGGAGGGAGGCACTGGCTGGAGTTGGGGCTGGGGGTGGGATCGGGTGAGGGGAGGACGGGGAGGGGACGCATCACTCAACATTGCTGCTGTCGAAGGCGTGGCACTGAAAATCCCCCTCCACGTGCTCCATGCTCGGCAGCTTCATCCCGTACTTGTCCACGCACCAGCAGATGCCACGCTTGCGGCCACGGGAAGGCTTGCACTGGGGGTGTGGACAGAGACAGGTATGAGGGTGGCCGTGCCTCGAGGAGGCTCCACCCTTGCCTGGCCCTCCATCTTCCCACCCTGAGACCTTTGGGGTTCTGGTGTCCCCACTGCGCGGGAGGGCCTGGGGAAATCGTCATTCGGGCAGTCTGACTTTTGCTACCTCTTCTAACCTCTGTTTTACGTCAACCACTTAGCATCTTCCAACGTGGTATTCTCCAGAGAGCTATATGATCTGATAATAATAACAATCATCATCATAGGAGGCATCCCTGCTGCAGCTTTATATCAGGTACCAGCACTGCTATTTAATACTTACTATGTAGTAGGTACCGTTCTGAGTGCTTTACAGAGATTAACCTACTGTTCCTCATAATCGTGTGAAAATAGTAAGAGCAGGTATTCTCCATTTTACACAGAGCTGGAGCAAGAGGACACAGCTGGTGAGGGGGAGGGCCAAGGACTGACCTGAGGCTGCCCGGCTCCCGAGCCCTAACTTAGGGGAGGCGACGCTTATGGAGCATCAGGGTCACATGGGAGGGAACTTGTCAGAAAAGCAAAATTCTTGGAGTCCACCAGACCCACGGATCAGACGCTCGGGGGCAGGGTGGGGAGTGTCTGCACAAGCCCGCCGGGTGACTCTGCTGCGGGGGAGGCTCAGAACCAGTGCCACAGGGAAGGCAGATCCAGCTTTAGAGGCTCAGCACCACCGGGTGGCGATTTCAGGTGGCACATGGTGACAATGCACTTTAAAGTCATATATATGCACGTATGTGTGTGTGTGTCAGAAAATAACACACACAACATGTGATGTGCCACAGCGATATTTCCCTTCACGGTCCGTGTGGCCCTGGCCGGGGGCTGTTGGTGAGAGTGGGGTCCCGATACGCCAAGGTTCTGGGTGAACAAGTGGAAAAACAAACCGTGTCTCTCTCTCCCTTCGCCTAGTGAAACCCATGTAAATAAGGTGAACTATTAGCACGTAAGTAGACTGTAGCATAGGAGGGAATGAGAAAAAGCATGTTTGTGGTGTGCACATTTGAGGTTTGAAAAACACTCTTGTTAGTGACAGAGGTTTCAGGCATTCAGAGGTAGAGGTTTCCTGGCAAGTGCCCTTCCGGGAGCCCTTCGAAGCTGGGGTCACGGGACGGGGCATACCTGCTTTCTCTTGTAGAATCCTTTGCGGTCACAGTTGGGAAGGTACACGGCACGGGGCACCATTCGAGGGCTGGCTTTGAGCTCCTGCAGGGACGCCTCCATGTGTCTGCGGCAAGGGCCCTGTGTGCGACAAGGGGGTAAGAGCACGCAGGACCCAGTGGAAACCCCCCACATGGGCAGAGTGCATGGCCCCTGAAGGGTCTGCGGGGGACGCCACCGCCGTTAGCTCCCATCAGTTGCTTCCCTCCCTGTCACCTGTTACGCACCCTGGGTGTGTAAAGTGTGCACACGCGGTCCCATATGTCACCCACCCTCAACCTTCCCGCTGTGAGTAGTCACGTCCAGAGGTGGTCCTCTGTGCATGCTCTAGACAATGTTCAGCGCCTGCGCAGGGGAGGACACAGCGCCAGGGCATTCACACACCCGGCGTTCGCTCGTGTGCTCTGTGTGGCTGGCTGGCACTATCCACGAGCACCGCCTCTGCTCCTGCTCAGGCAGACAAATTCGGGTCCTGACACATGTAAGCTCTAAAAACTCTCCACTGCGAGGCCCTTCACTAGGTCTAGCGCAGCACCTCCTGCGCCACAAATGCTCATCTAGATGCAAGTCAGGGCAGGGGCTGCCGGGGTGAACGCAGAGGGATCGCGAGGGAGCCTCGAGACTCACCTGCTCAGATTCCTGTCTCATCTCAGGCGCAGCGATGACCCGGGGGTGAGCAGTGTTCTCAGCTCCCCCCACAAACTTGGACTGGGTCAGCTTCTTCCTACGGTCCTTCTTCACAGCCTCGGCCTTCAGCTCGGAGATGCGAGAGTGCTTGGGCCGGAACATCTTGGGGGAGTAGGTCTCCTCGGCCATCTCAGAGGTGGTCGGGTCCTCCTGCTCCTGGGAGTCTCTCTCTGCAGGGAGAAGGAGGTGCAGGGTCAGCCTCGGGGGCTGAGACAGCGGGCAGAGCCCCAGGCTCTGAAGGTGGGGTGAAGAGACGAGGTCCCCGTCCTCCTGGAGCTTATATAGACCCAGAGTGTCAGAGTCAATGCTCACGTAAGTTGTGGGAAGTTGCTGGCATGACCGGAGCCCCACAGCGTGAATCTAGGAAGACTTCACGGAGTTGGGGGAGTGTTGAAAAAGTCAAGCTGCTAAGCGAGGGAGGGCTGACAGGAGGGAGAGGACTTCTGGGGCAGGGATGAGGAAAGGGGCAAGTGGCCTCTGGGAAGGCTCAGGCTTGTGGGGCTGGCTAAGAAGATGGCGTGGTGGCTGGGTGAGGCTTTGATGCAAGAACACAACCTGGAGATCTTGGCTGTCACAGGGAAACGGGGGACAGCAGGGCGTGGGCAGGAAAGGCCAAGTGTAACCTCCTGTGAGGTCTTTGAGCCTTCAGAACTGCTGGACTGCAGAAACATTTGGATTTGGGGAACCGGGGACAGGAGGGGACAGGAGGGTCCTGCGGGTCTGGACTAGCAGGGTTATGGGACCATCATGAAGAACGGGAGGAGGGGACCTGGGAAGTCCGAGGTATGGGCCTGGAGGGGAACAGTGCCGGTGGGTGGGGAGACGAGGGACCTGGAGGCCTTGCTCCCTGCTCTGGCTCTGCGCTCTGGGCCCTGGATGGGCTGGAACGTAACACAGCTCCAGGCCAAGCGAGGCTGACAGCTGGCGGGCACTGGCACAGTTATATATAGGGGTGACTTGGTGACAGTCTATACTTAGCTGACTTATGACCTTTAAAGAAGTAGGACTTTGTTCATTTATTTGTTGATCTGTTAATTCCACCTGTCCAGGCTTTTCTCGGTCCACGGATTTCCATTTTTTCTAACCGCACAGGCACCCTCCTCTGGGTCCCTGTTTCTCCTCTCGGTTCCTTGCCCACCGGCCTGTGCAGACTCAGGGAGGGAGGGCGTGGCCAGGATGCCCACGTGAGACCGGGTGCAGGGGTGCAGGGCAGTGTGGGCAAAGGCAGGGAGGCCCTCTCTTCATTGCCCTCTTTTCTTTTCAAATTTAAGAAAAAGAAAACAGGGCTTTGAGGTGACCCCAAATAACAACGGGTGCAGGAAAATCCTATGCTCCACCCACTTTGCTATCACTGGGCTACCCAGGAGCTGGAGGGCCAGGCACTGACGGGAAATAGGGGAGGAACCTAGCAGGTGGGGGGAGGGGAGATGTAGGGGGAGAGAAGCTGGGTGAGAAGACACTGTTTTGTGTCCCCAGGGCACCGGGGAAGTTACAGGTGTGTGTTAAGGAAGGTGTTTGGAGACCTGGCCAAACTTGGTCAGGATGGCAGGTGGCAGGAAGCTCCCAGGCACCTGTTTGTGTGTTGGCTTGGGATTCGTCCCATTTCTTTGAACAGGTATCCAGTCTTTCAGGCCCTGGCGGGGAAGTTCCCCACTCTGAAGAAGCCTTCAAGGTTTGCAGGGCTCTGGGTGGTTAGCTGATTTGGGTTATTTATCCATAGGAGAGGAAGGGATGTAGTCACCGGACAGGAGGGTGACAGGGAGAAAGCAGAGAGCAAAGCCGGGGGGCAGGCTCTCTCTGAACCAAACTCAGCACCAGGTTCCCCGTCCCCTGCTTTCACCCCGTCTTCCCGCCGTATCTAGACCCGGTGGTCCGACTCTGCCACAGCAAGGTGATTCATCACCATCGATGTGCCCGGGCAGGGCAGTGAGCCTTCCAGCAGTCAGCTAGTAGTGGTGCTGTAGGCAAACCTGCTTCTCTTCCTAGTGGGACGAGCTAGAATGCGGGTGACGCAGGGAGGAGCACAGCTGGCTTGGGGGACTCTGCACAATCGAAAGGCTAGGGCTCTGTGACCTAGTAACTCAGGCCCAAACTGGAGGCTCCGGTCTCGGGGAGAGGAGGTGAGGAGAGGAAAAGCGAACCATGGAGTGGACAGGTTGCTGAGCCCGGCTTACTGAGGGACACGAGGCATGTCACCAACCTCTCTGGGGAAAAAACAAGCACTCTTATCCTCAAAACACAGGGGAGAGGGCAAAGGATGGTTGCCAATGAAAGGCTGGGACATTCTGGGGCGCATGGCCATACCCCTTTCCCAGTCAAAACTATAACCAGATGAAGTGAGGGGAGGAGGGAGGGGGGCCCGGTGCTGACCATGAAGAGATGCATGTTTCTTTCAGGGGCTCCACCGACCTGGCCTGGAAGGCCAGCAAATTGTCTCCAGGGATATTTGAGAAGCCGAACTCCAGAGTCACCTCTCCAGTGGGAGGGGTCCCAGGAAGCTGCTCACCTCTACTGGTCTGGACCAGCTCCCGGGATCCTTCCAAAGGTCCTGCTGGTCCCTCTGTGTCGGAGCAGGAATAAGTGCACGCACCTATCCTAGAGGCGCTTTTTCTAGTTCTTAAAGACATCTGGGAGGGGGGTGTCACCCCTCCTCCTCTGGACCCCTATTTTGGGAGGACCCCTTTGTTCCTTTGGTCAGAGGCTGCCATCTGCCAGATGTCATTTCACCTTCTCTCGCAGGGCAGGGAGTCTTGTCCACCATGGTGGACAAGAAGTGTGTTAGCTCCCAGCCCTGAGGGTATCAACAGGTCTTCCCAAGACTTCTCACTATAGAACATTTTCTAACAAGAGCTGCGGGCCAGACTTAACCTTGAGTCTCCCTTCCTGGGAGGAATTTGGGGCTGTTACTGGTGTGATGAACTTTTGGGGCAAATTTACCTTGACCTCTCTTAGTCTTTTCTGTGAAAGTGTCCAAGTATTGGCTCAGGGCTAAGCAATGATGACACCAGAAAACAACTGTGCATTCCTCTTTAAGGAGCTCAAAACACGTTTGCAAACCTCTCTGCTTCCTTCCTTCCCCTGGCCTCGCCAGGGCGGGGCACCCCAGAGCGTGCCCTCCCCAGGTTTCCGCTGCTTTGCTGCTCCGCAGGGCAGGCTGGGTTTGATGTGCCTCCCGGTTTTTGGTGCCACTTAACCCCATGGGACCTATTACTTAGGCAGCAGGAGAGTCGAGTATCAAAGATACTCATCAGGGTCTTGTGGTCACCTGTAGGCTCCAGAGAGGCCGTGGAAAGTTGGAGCGAAGCCAGGGCCGCACCAGGGAGATTAATGGGCTGGAACAGAGACCCAGAGCTGGATGCCGGAGCCGGCGCGCTCCACACAGCTGCTTGGTGGCCGAGTCATAAATAGGCTCTCAGTTTGGGAAGGGCTTAAGTTTGAGGTCAACCAAGAAGGCGCGAGTCGACTGGCAGCTCCTGAGCTATTTCATCAAGGGAAAGTGGACTGAGGTTGTGGAAGGGATTTAAGTGAGATATAAGGGAGGACTTCCTGGTGAGGTTGCCCGACCCACACGAACAGCAACAGCAACAGCAACAGCAACAGAAGGGACAGAGGTGCAGTGGTTATGGAACCTGTTCATCAAACTGGTCAATACCCCCAAGTGGCCAGTAGATGGCGGAGGAGACTGACGACCACAGGCCCCAGGTGCTTATTGCTAGGGGCTGGAAGTAATCTTAAAAATTGGAACTTGTGTGCCTGTTTCTGTGAAAAACCACCCCAAAACCTCTCCTTCTCTTTGTGTGAAGAGTCAGGGAGATGGACACGCGAGGACTGGAAAGGACCCACGGGAGGGGAGGGTGGAGAGAGCAGGTGTGGGAACTGGAGACGCGGGGAAGGGCCCGGCTTTATCTGTGCAGAACCCCCAGCTGTTTCTTTCATCTGCAACTGACAAATGACCAGGGGAGGAAGTGACATCTCTGGATGTCATGCCGGAGGATGGAAAATGGGGAATGCTGTCTTGTTCTCCTTTAGTTCCACGATCTTGCCTGACGACCGAGGAAGCGAGAGCTGTCACTGTCCTGATATTTACCTTCGGGGTGTGATTCCGCTCTGACTCCCACCCTCCTGCTCTCTGAGGCCCAGACCCTGCCACGCTATGCTGGCCACCTCAGCTCCTCCATTCAGAAGGCGCTGCCCATCCACACTGGTGCGCTAACATTCAGTGAAGCAGGACGGGTACATGGGCCCTCCCTGTCCTCACAAGGACACCTGCTTGAGGACTACACCATTCTCATGTCCCAGCACACACAGGCCTGGCCGCTGGGACCCAGAGGCACGCGGAGGTGGGCAGGTCTACCCACAGCACAGGTGCACCAGGCACACGCCCCCCCCAGGCTCCACCACAGTCTTCCACACACCCTCTTGCTGCCGCCGTTTCCTCGCAGGGGCAGGATGCTTTGCCAGGTGCATACTCTTCAGAAACACTCTGATCCCACCTTGCTCCCGTTACAGAAATGGATGGGTCCAGCTGGGGACCGGCTGTTCCTCACAATCTGACCTCCCACCCTGGGGCTCCCGGTCCCGCCCTGGCACCATGAGCAGCCCCCTCCCGGCTGGTGGTAGTTCCCATTCTAGCTTAACCTCATAATCAAACTTCAGAGAAAGCTGGGTGGCCCAGACCTCGTGACTCTGCTTACAGAAACGGAAGAAACTGAGGCGTACTTGGAATTCACAGCGCAGGAAGAATGCAGGGCTTTGCCAGGCCACCTGGACCTGGACAGAGGAAAGTCTCTTTTTCTAGCCAGAAGACAAGATGGGTTCGCCCGGAATCTCTCTACAAGGAATGAAAAGGGAGCTGGCTTTCCACGGGCTCTCATTCTAGCTCCCTCTGTGGAATTTTAACAGTCATCTTCTTAAGGGCAGAGGTTTGCCATTTATCTTTGTCTCTCCGGCATATGGTTCTCCACAAATAATCTTTAAATGGACAGATGCATTGACCTACGCAAGAGACAAAGTGAGGTGGGTCTAGAGGCTTTTCTGTCTATAAACTGGGGTAGGTTAGAGCTCAGGGGACGCCCTGAGGGGTCGTCCCACAGGTGCCACAGTCTGTAAGCACAACACTGCCACAGACGGAGCAAGGCAGCGAAGAATGAACCTCACAGGACAGTGACAG